TATTTAATTACACTTAGTATTAATAATATTTTCTTATTCGAATTGATGGTTTCGATTCTACTTTGTAATATACAATGTTGATCATTAACATTTTTTTTATAATCTTAATGAACTCTTAATAACGTTAATGTCTGATGACAGTATTGAACATATATGAACTAATACTTTTCAAAGATACCTACTTGTAAATAAATGTTTTAATTAGTTATAGTATTTTTTTTTTCATTTTTTATTTCGGTATCATCTGTATATCTAGGATACATCCTATTATCTAGGGTTCAATGTACGTCCCATAGTACAAACAGATAACTAGACCATTTGAGGAATTCGCTGTCAAAAGTGGACATCTTCATTTCCAGTTTTGTGTGGAAAGTAACAGTAAAAACTGATCTTTCCTCTCATTATTCTATGCGGAAAAATATTTGTTAAAAAATTGAAGCGTTTAGAACAGCTTTGCGAAACCACCAAACCTAATCGAAATCTCAGTTTCAGTAAAAGAAGAGATGTCCATGTTTTGATAGCTAACTTCTCATTTAAAAATACAAAAAATATTTTAAAATAACACTTTTCTTTTAATGCATTTTATTTTAACGAAAAAAAAATGTTTAATTTTAAAATAATATTGTAGTATTTTGTTGTTCAGTTTTAGTTTTTAAATTTCTTAATTGAATTTTGATTTTAGATTTTTGTAAATAAAATACTTCGAACTATAGAAGAGATTCACTGTTTTGTTTTTTTGAAAAATAAATATATTTTAGTAGCTTGCGTGTCGCGGGAACCTTGAGAGTATACGTGAGGAACTTGGATATCGGCCAGGTCGCACAACCTGAATACTCACATCGATTTACTTCTTTCTTAAATTCCATTTCTGATATTAATCCCTTTATTGACATTCCCTTAAGACGTTTTTAAAAATGAATAATTTATTTCATTATCAGCATTATTTAAGTGCAGTTAAAACTGAACATTTCAAAATAAAGAAGTTCAAAAAATCAATTGAAATTCTATTTTGTGAGAGATTTTGAATGAGCATATCGTGTGTTTCAACGTGAAAATGCGTTAAAACCCTAAACGTTCTGATTTAGAATTATTTTATTATTGCCTTAATTTTATCCCTAGCAATTTTTTGTTTTGTTAGTACTCGATCAATTTCTAGTAATTACGCTATCTTAAAAAATCTCAGCTTGGTGAAAAATGAATTTTAAAACGTTTTCTATCTCTCCCTAAAAGTTATGATTTGATCGTTACCCCGTTGCACATTGAAACCGACGTTATAAAAAATATCTCTGATTACACACAGAAGGCTAAAAAAGATTGGATGCGGGATCCCCTTACCTTAAGGATTAAAAGAATTATGTGAATTAAAAAATAGTCAGTAATAAAATTCCATTTTTATTCAAAATCCAATATGATGATAAAGAAATGTAACGGCCCTCTAAATATGAATACTCTATAAATAAATGTTTAGTTGGAAATTTTTAATTAGAAGAAAACGATTGAAACATTTGTGAAGGTATTTTTGTTCCCTTAACCAAGAGATGATTAGACATGCAAGATAAAAGAAATTAATGTATAAATGCATATATTTTTAAATAAAACTACCAATGCTTATAAAAATTAACCATAAGTTTATATATATTTTTATAAAAAAATGTCTCTTATTTTATATAAATTCCATTTTTAAGCCAAAATATGGGCATTTCTTTTTACCAAACAGCATCTTAACCTAAAAGCTGAGATTTTTTTAAATTAACTAATATCTAAAAGTGCAATGCTTATATTATATTTAACCGGTTACGTCTCTCAATTCAAGTCACAATTAGTCATTACTACCTTATACTTCCGCACTATGTTATCCGATCTATAAATATAATTTTAGTTTGTATTAACCAATTCCATCTCCACAATATTGTGATTGATATATTTAAGCGATACCTTGTTCGAAATCAATTGTAATTAAATAATTTAGTACGATGTATCTATAACATGGTTGAATAAAATATGCAGGATGAAAGGTAAATTACGCAGTTGAGAATTGGTTTTCAGGAACAGGCGCTTTGGAGACATTGTCGTTTATGAAAATCTTACAAAGGTTTAACCTAATTATATTTTTATGGAAACAGTATTTCCATTTGTAGGATTTAATTTTATTTTTAGGAATATAGTTACAGTTAGATTATATCTTTATCAATATTTAACCTTATCTTCAGTGATATTTAATCAACATCTAATCTGTTCTTCCTGAGATAAGTAGTATCAATCGATCACTTTAGCTTTGGTTCTGGTTTGTCGTTGATTTTTGCAATTCCTAAATTTTTGATTTTTGATTTATTATTTGAGGAATTTAAGACCATTTAAAAAACAATACCTATCTATATCGTAGGTTAGGAAGCTTTATTACACCTCAAAAAATAGAATTTTTAAGTGAAATATTTGAAAAAGTGAAAAAAAAGAAATTTTGAAGACATCAACCACTAAAATGTATATATATATTAAGTAGACAGTCAAAAGCCAGAAATAAAAAACAGTATCTCTGTATACAGTAGATCTGGTGTCTTTTGAATAAATTCTTCATTTTTAATAATATAAAAAAAATCATTTTTAAGAAGTGATATTCTTCCGGATCGAGGTTATTTAATCTATTTAGTCAACTTTTTGTTGGTTGTGTAAGAAACTGCTTAAAATTGAAAGGCGCTGATTATTCAAATTAAATGTTAATTCGTAGACATTTAGCTGGTTGCAATGCTTAGAATTTTTTATGAAAAATATCTTCATTTTTTAAATACTGAAAATTCTGATGCGTTATTTACAAGAATTTCCCTTTTTTTTTTTTTTTTTTTTTTAATATTTCATATGAATTATATATTTATTATGAAGTTGCTACTAAACCTACAGTCGACAGAGTTTATCGTATTTTTCTTCATTTATTATTGAATTTTCGTGTTTATAACTAGGATATTTGAATAGCATATAACATTTTATATTATTTGTGTTACAAATTATTGTTAAATTCAGTTATATTTATCTGTTGAACTTTTCGATGAAATAGTTTGCTAATAAGCACTATTTCTAATTTAAACTAATGCCTGTGGCTAAGGTGGAGATTAAAGGGCAAGCTATTTATATACTCCTTCGATGGAAAACAAACCAATGCAGCTTGTTTAAACTCAATATTTCAAGTTCATTGCTTGCAGAATTACTACTTCTAAAAGTTTAATAAGTTTTTATATTATAAGTCTCTTATCTGAAACCAAGAAAAATTTAAATCTGATGCTGTTGTAATGTTGATGATATAGCTCCAAGTCCAATTTACAATATATATTGGTTTTTTTACTTTAAAATTTGTAAGACGCAGTGTGTAGATCTGTAAATAGTTAAGTATTATTTTATATATAATAATTTTATCCTTTTAAATATACAAACAAGGGGTGTATATGATCACGAGTATGTATGGTACATACATATAAGTATATATATGTATATATTACACATCATTACTCTTGTGTTGTTTGTTCTCATTGTGACGGTCGAAATTTAATGGGTCATGTACAAATGTTATAAACTGTATATTATTTTTTTTTACTTTTTACATTCCCATCTTTGACCAAAACTCAGGACGGAGCCAGTACTACTGGTAACGTACTACTCCATTTTATGACCAGTTTAGGAGGGGAGGCTATTCCTTCCCGAGCGTGGGTCAATAGCTAACTCGGAGATACTCGGCAGATTCCGTCCTTTGTTGGATGCACTAACTTGGACCTGTTAGAAATGCTCTTTGTTTGAGGCTGTTGTTTTGTTAACCAGCCTTTCACTGCAGTTGAAAAATTCATTCTATAGTAGTTGGTATATAAGTCGTGCTACACTCTTTGGAAAACAAGTGGAAAAATGCTACACAATAGGTGGGTTGTTCTCAATAAAGAAAAGAAACGTTAAAGAAGGTCCAGTTGCATTCTTAGATTCTTTCGAGAATGGGCTTAATAATAAGATAATCATTAATCATCAGTAGTGAACGAATGGTTTAATAAACAAATAAGAAACACACATATGTATGGTGATAAACCTCCGAATGAGGTACAAGATAGTGAAATAGACATTCTATTTTAGTTTGGCCTTATTAATGCAACAAAGATGGCGACGCCGTACGTTGTACGAAACACGTTCTGATGCCTTGGCAACTGGTTTACGCTCTACTGGATTGTTATTTCAAATTTATTCTGCTTTAATATCATAATGTTCATTCCTATTTCATCTAATAATGTTACATATGTTGTAATTACGCTATCACTGCTTATATAATTGAAGAATTAATTTATTTAGGCTGTTTGATAAATTACAGTGGCAGAGATATTTTAAAACAGCTGCCGTTTGATCCTGTAGTAAAAACGTTTTAGCGTTCTTCGTGAAGGAAGAAAAATAAAAACATGACCGTGACGTAGGAAATTCATACATTAAATATTAAGTATTGTGAAAGAGCCACAAGAAGATATTAACCAAATACATACACAATGGTTTAAAAACTACTAAAAACCATAACCCTGATAGTACTTTACATTAGCCATTAAAATATTAATAATAATTTAAAAAGACACGGTAACATGGTCTTAAAGGTTATAATTTTGGTTAAACAATTTATATAAGTTGTACTTAGTTTCTTTTGATTGTTTTTCAATAATTTTAATATATTTATTGATTTCATGATATTGATGCAGATGTAACTTATATTAGTAATTTTTACTTTATCAACTTAAAAAATAAAAAATAAAAATGAATTATTGAACTCACATTTTAAACTTCATACAGTTTCTCTTGTTAATTTTAAAATAATGAAAAACATTATCGCTCTTAGTCCTTATAAAAGATTCATGTCATTACTTTTGTTTGTTTATTATTATTTTAACAAAGCAGGATTGCCTTTATGCTCTTCTTGTGGTTTTTTTTCTATATGTTTTTTTGTTGTAATTTTCCAAACTGTTGATTTTCATTCCATGATTCATTAACAGTGGTGGAGGTGCTGATGATTTGGAGGACGGAGAAATATTTGATGATGATGAAGATATACCTATACCAACTGCAACAGCCAGCCCTCCTGTTCCTCCTCCTCCACCATCTATCTCGCTCATTGATGAGAAAAGGCGGTTAAGCCCTCTTCGAAGGCCTCTTCCTACTCGCCCTAGGAGGCCAAAAAGAACAAGGGAGGATGATAGACCTTTTAGAAACAGTGTAAGTTTAAAAAGAAGTTGGTAATATGTTCAATTCTATTATTTATTTTTTTAATCACTGAATATTTATTGTACCTCTTTTGTTTCGCATAGGCCCTTTTATTCCCACAGATTCATATAAGACTTATTTATTAACAGCTATTTCTTTAGATGAAAAGAATCAAATGTATTTACCATTAATAGTTAATCGTTTTAAATTACTTGAAAACTTCATAATGTGATAAACTTAACCTACTGAAAAATTATGTTCTAGATGAACTACTTTTTAATTATTTTTCTTTTCTATTTTAATTTATATTAATATTTTTAGAGTTATTTAACTGTATATTTTCTTTAATGAGCTAATTTATTCAATAAGTGTAGAAACACTTGTGTCATTCAAATAAATTAAAACATATGTAATTTTGTTAGTTACAGCTGAAATTTGACTATTTTTAAGTAGGCTATTAATTTAAACTATTTAAGCATTATTCATCAAATTTAAATTTAAGATATGACTATCTATTTTATAAAATATTTGACATAACTAAATATATTCTATGTTTATATATTCTTGATGGTTGCTGTTTATATAAATACATTGGAAACATTAAATATGTAATATATTTTCAAATTGTAAAAATAACAAGAAACGTTTACTACCTTTTAAATAGTTAATAAATTTTAATCATTTTTGTTGGAAAGATGTAATTCTTCTTTAAAGATTTTATTCATTAAGATACTAGTGGTACTAATGAGAAAAACTATTATGGCAAGTGGTTCTTATGGTCTTTTTTGTCAACTCCTGAAGACTACTTAGATGTTGCCGCCATCTACATACCAGAATAGGAATTTCAGATTTCTTGAAGATTCATTCTTTGGGGCCTTCAAGAAATAAATATTGACTGACCCAGGTGGGAATCGAACCCACAATGTTCCAAACTGGGCACTCTGAGGCTCTCGTCCAAACTTACTTGACATTCCCCAATAAAATACTAAGAATAGTATTTCTTATTTTTTCTTTCAATGAATCTTTTGTTTTGTATTTAGTATTGATTTGTTTATCTAATACTTTGACTGTTATAGGTTCAAAAACTATCAGATTGTTGCTTTTAATAATTTAAATTTCGGATTGCTATATTGTAACTACATAATGTATGCACACTTTACATAACCGTTAAATATATATATATGGTTGTGAGACCTGGACACTAACTACCACCCGAAAAATAAGTATTGAAAGATTTGGAAAAACCCTCCGCATCACCGGAGCGTATCTGGAATCAGAGTACTAACACATGGAGAGGAAAGACTAATAACTGCTTACAGAAACTGGTCAATCAATATCCCATGATTTGAAGTCATGGAGGTTAAGATTGGCAGGGTTGTTAGTGGTACATGTTTGACTAATATTATATCCCTACCTTGGAAGAAGACTGGTACGACTTAAAGTTCAACTAAAAGGATTTGTATCTTTGTTAGAAGAAAACAACTAAAAAAGAAATGAGTTTCCACATTTGTGTAGTCATAATCAACATGACAACCTTGAATTTTGAATTAAAATTTTTGAGTTGTGTTGGATTTCTAAGCTAATGATATGGCTAAAACTAATAAGATAGAATAAAGAAGTTCTATACATAGACATGATTGTTCAGAAAGTCCACTTTTTATCTTCTTGTCAAATGCTTGTCATTTACCTTGAATGTTGCAGTAATCATCTGCACCATTAATACAGATAAAAAGTAAAAAAAAAAATTAAGTTTTAATTGTTCTATCTGCTGTTACAACATGTTTATTATCATTACATATATATGCAAATGTGATTTTGACATAGAGAATGGCTTATCCTCAGTAAGGCCTAGTCTAGTGCATATAAATTTTTTTCGATTGTATAACTACTTAGTCATATTTCAAATGGCTATAATAGTTTGTTTGGTGTGCACTTTACAGGGGCAATAGTTGTATGACAAACAAATTTTAAAACAGCATCGTTCACCCTTTCACTGAACATTCATATGACTAGTGTGTCGTGGAGTATAACCTCCTATCTACTCCTTAACATACAAATAACTATTTTAACACTGCACTTGCACTGACAGGTGTAACTGTCTTAATCAGTACAATTCTAATTTTGATTTTCGCTGGTCATCCATTATGAATATCTAACCCATAACCAGCAGAATATCTTAGCTCTGATCGATCTTGTATACATACAAAATTTGTTTATTATTTCTTTTTGCTTTCACATCTTATGATATACTGTAATTTGGGTAAAAATACAAGTGAAAAAATATTGTATAATATGTAATATTTTATTCACTTTGATAAACCCTGGATGAACTTGTTCGGAATATACATAAGTTGAAGTATACAAACAAAATTAACCATTTGGGAAAGGCTTTGTTATTGTAGTTCACTTTACTATCCAAAATTCCATCAGGATAGGCTCAATATTTCCTTCTATCCCAAGCTTATCTCTCATTGGAGCAGTTATTAAAACTGTTTTCTCTACTCACTTTATACTGAATCTATTTTCTCCTACTTATCATATGATCCAAACTTTAATTTCCTCTCCTTAAAGTTTAATTTCACTTCAAACATCATTTTATTCAATGCCAGCTGATTCTTTGGTAGGAATATAAACTTTCTTGCAGCACCTTGGCTGTTAGGTTAATAAATCATTGTGTATCTATGGATAAATTGTTGTAGGTGGTCGTTACATAATAATATATATATATATATATATATATATTTTTTTTTGTTTATAGAAACAAAGGAGACGTAGTGATGAAACAGAAAAAAGAGAAAAAAATTTAGAGGAAGATGATCTCATGAGAGATATCTCGCCACTTCGAGGAACGGATTGGGATAGAATCAACCATAGATCAGGTATAATTTTTTTCTCAACCAAATAGAAGCCTCTGTATGATAACAAGTGTCAATTTTTTTTCATTAAAATTTTATCACTGTAATGTTTAATACAGTAGGTAGGTGTATTTAACATTTTGATTACTGATTAATGTCTCGAACACTTATGGTTAATAAATGAATATATGAAATCATATCGCACCTTTGAAACTTCTTCCTTGTTAAAATCTTTTCTGTTGTCAACACTCTTATGACTCAAAAGAAAATAGATGATAACCACGTCTTCCCCTGTTAAAACTATAAACTCTTTAATTAGTATTCCTCAAGAATATAAAAATATATTAGAATGTTGTAAGTGGATTTTAATCAGTATTCTTGTTTTGTGATAATACCCTACCAGTTATATAGTTGAGTTATTCATAATGTGATTGTTAACATTGACTCGACCTACTTTAATATTAAGCTTCAAAAGTGATTCACCTAATATTTATTAGCCTAAAGCCAATGAACAATTATTAAAGGTTTCATGGATGATGGAATGGATGACGAGGATGATGAACTTGGGAGGAGAGGGAGAGGATTTGGAAGTAGTCGGTCCAGGAGGGGCAGAAATAATCGAGGGACTAGGAGAGGGGGACGAAGAGAAAACACTCAAATGTGCAAATTTTTTTTGCAAGGAAAATGTCAAAGGGTATGTTATTTTACTTTTTCTTGTTGTAATTCACAAAAAATGTACATATTTACTTCAAAAATATTTTGTATTAGATATAGAATGGTGATTATCTAATAATGATTTGATTAAGTTAGTTTGGTTAGAACCTCAAGAATGACCAATAAAGCTTTCATCATTAAAAATATAAATAATGATATTTCTTTTCTTTGATTCACAAGTTATATTTATGGTGAGTGAACATCAATAATATTTAGGCCAATTTTTAGGTTAGCGATATCATTGTTTTTTCTGGAGTAACTGAATTATTATATTTTGCCATATAGCCTGTTATTGATGTCCAGTCTTCATATAAAAATAATTAATGTAAAGTTAACTTAAAATATTATGTATAAAGTAAGTTTTTACTGTTAACAAAAACAAATTTCTGTAAATTATCCTTAGGATCTTAGCAATGTTGTTATTGTTATAATAATTTTGTTTTAGGGATTAGAATGTCCATTTGCTCACTCTCACTGTCAACAAACTCGAAAATTTGAACTTTGTAAGTTTTATATGATGGATTGTTGTGCCAAAAAAGACAAATGTCTCTTTATGCATTCAGAATTTCCTTGTAAATACCACTACCTTGGGAAGAAGTGCTATGCCGGTAAAAAATGCAAATTTTCTCATGGAAAAATATCTTCTCAGCTGAGGGCAGCACTGATAAGGGTGAGTTTATATTTCTGTGTATACTGAAACCTGCATTACGTTTTGTGATAATACTTCATTATTAATGATTTTTTTTTTTTATTTCCTTATTTTCATGTTGCTGTTGGCAGGACTCCAAAGAGGTAAGGAGTAATGAATTATGAATGCTAACTTTATTTGTTTATTATTTAGAGAACAGAACAGTTTTTGACTCTCATATCTTGATTTTAGTGTGATTTTCTACAAGAAAAAGAAGAATCCAGATCTAGACGTGATAGAGATAGAGATAGGGAGAGGGATAAAGACAGAGATCACCGAGAATATCGTGAGCGTGATAAAAGAGAAGATAAAGAGAAATCGGGCGCCAATTATAAGTCTGATCATAGGCAAGCATCAGATGATGGTAATTATACTCATGAATGTCAATTTTTCATTATGTCTTTATAAATCTAAGTGTTAAACATTTTTTTTATTTCTTTGGTATTTTTTACTTTATTTTAATCAAGTGAATTAGATTTTTTTTTTTTTTACCTATGTAAAAATGAAAATAAAAAAAAAGTACTTCTTCAGAAGCATACATTTTAAAAAACAATTATGTAATATATTTAGTACATAATTTTAGTACATGCTGCTAGTGTCTCGATGAAAACCAATGAATTGGGATTTTTTATTTATTTGAATTATATGGCTTACTCTTTTATAACATTAATAAAGGCTCTTACAATAAAGTATGTTGGATCGATAGTTCTAAAGTACGTAGTTTGGAGTGTTTTGTGCTTACCAGGGATTGAAAAAGTATATGATTATTATAAGTTGTAACATTGAAAATTTAACCATATTATTAGAATGAAAGATAAAACATTTCCTAGAAGTGTTAATCCTTTTTATTAAGTTTTTGGAATCTGAGTTTAGTTTTGGTTTTTCACTTATCAAAATTCAGGATTACGAAAATATATTAATTTCAGAAATATTAATTTAATTAATATTTCTAGATGTATGTGAATATACCATTAGAAATGGATGTTAAGCCATCATGGATTTACAATAAATAAAATCTTCTTTAAGGTTCTTTACCCAAATTTTCCTGTACAAACAAAAAAAATTATACTAGATTAAAAATATACTTTAAAAAATATAAGGAGAAAATTAGGATAGAGAAAAAATCAAGTAAAATAAGATATATAAAATCGAAAACCTATAAATTCAATGTTTTTGTAAAATTAACTTAAATAAACCATTATCATAAGGAAAAATACATTGATTAGTTGATGTCATTTTTTTTTTTAATTCTAAAATTAGTGAAAATTTATTTTAATTATTTATAACTGCTGCATGTTTTGTTGCCTAGTTATTATTTGTTGATTGTTTACAGCTGGAAGTTTCTTATTCTGCTATTCTTATTTTTAAAATTGTTTTAAATAATATTAAACATGTATATGCTATTTTGCTTAGGTTAGATTTATATTTCATTTATGATTATTCCTAGCCAGTAACTTCCTTTATGCCTCTAAAACCAAGATATTTTTCTTATTTTATTTTGATATTAATTTTTTATTTCAGTTTTCATAATTGCATTTAATAATCAACAATATAGAGCCAGGCTGTGAAAATCATCCTCTCTATTATTTATTTCATTGTATCCTTATTTATATGTGTTTATTAATGCAATTCTTGTTTTATATTTCCAGAAGAAGGAAACCGGACACCAATGCCTTCACCTTCACAAGATAACTCTAGTGATAGGTAATTATTGTTTTTAAAGATAGGTCAAAAAAAGAAAGGAAAAAAAAAAACGTTCTTCGTATCCATTTTGATAAATCTATGTTAATGTCTTAAAGAAATGATTATTTAATTGTGTAATGTTTCTTCATTTTCACATGTTTGACATTCAATAATTCATTAAAAATAAATAAATTAATCTGAACTGTAACTATAAACTATATAAATTGTCAGACATAATCATATGTTTTTGTATAGATAAAATTCAAGTTATTATTTTTAGTTTTTCCTTTGCATAGGTTGTCTTGCAGTATACAGGCATTATAAACACACATTGACCTCATTATTTTTTTATTTGTTAAATATATTTTGTTTTGGAAAGTTTACTTGCATTGTAAACTTTTCATAAAGTATGAAAACATAGAATATAATTTTTTTTTTTTTACTATTAATAAAGTCATACTTTTGGGATACACTTGATCAACCTTGAAATAAGATTTTTTTCACAATCAGGTGTTGAACAGAATATTTATTTAGAAATAAAAATATGTCAACTAACAAAAAATTATTGAAGAGAAATATTTTATTTTTAAAACTATTTATTGGTTTCAAATAAATATTATTCAACAGATCAAATTTCAATTTGAATTTAACACGCACTCTCAGTTCAAATTTTTTTAGCAGATCTTTCCTTTGTAAATACATCTATATATAATGTACGTGTTACTGAGTGTGTTTGTATTTATTACAATACAGCAGTTCATTAAATGGACATTGAACATGATCATCTCTATATTATTTTATAATAAAATATTTTCTGCTTGCATTATTAATTTAAAAAATAAAATCCATAAGATTTATATATTATATATCTCTTAGATACATTGCTTAAATTAGAAAAGATTAAAGTTATAATCACTTTATTATTTATTCATTCTTTAGTTTAAGGTTATATTTTATAGTAAAAATATATTTATGTATTGATACATTAATGTTATTTTGTACTTTTATATGGAGTCAAAATAGAAACCTATTCCCTCTACGGTGCTTTAAAAGTTAATAAAATCAATTATAAGTTTAATCAATTATCAATTAAAGTTTAATTAACTTCAGCCAGTCTTACCCCCAAGAGCTCATTTATTGACACACTAATGTTTTCTGCTTCTGACCAGTTATTCCGTGGCATAATAGTTTTGACATATTTTATTTCTTAAAATAATTTGCATTTTATTTTAAGTATAAATATAATCTGATACAACTATCCCATGTATGTTGAAATTATAAATGTATATTGAAAGAATATTATAATGTACTTTATATTATAACTAAATACTATAACTTGATTTTTTTTTTCATTTTCCATAGGGATTCAAGATCTCGAACTCCTGAGCTTGAAGACCAACTCAGTGATCATAGTAATAAATCAGATGGTCCTTTACCTGATCCCAAAGGTAATCATTTCTTTTCACTTTATTTTCTTTATTCTTTATTTCAAACTATAAAATCAATTTAACATGTTTTAAAGCACATATGTATAATTCAGTATTTGATTTATTATATTTGGTGGTGTCTCAATGATTCATGATCAGGCAGGACTGGTTCCCTTTTATATTATCAAAAAACTTAAGATTAACGGAATAAATTTGTTAATAAAATCACACTAATATGTATTTCATTGTGTATATTCATAATTGTATGTTTATTGATAAATTTCAAACGTTATTTGTAAAAATAATCCTCTGATTTGATTAACCCCTTCCCTGTACTGCTATCTTGCACAATATAGAGATTTGAGTAATGCTTTACTGAAATAATATTTTAAATATTTATGCATATTAGTATTATGACAAAATAATGTATGACTGAATAACTGTATGACAAAATGAGTGAAATGTGTAGGAATATGAATGTACAGATGTATATTTTTGATGATATGAATAAAATCCCAAAATAAAATGTATTTTGATTGTTAACTATTATTATCTATCACCATCTATCATAAAAATCATAAAAAAGATCTTTTATTACCAAGACTCCACTATGTATCTACTATTGACTCATAAAATCAATTGCAGGGAATAAATTGTTTTTCTTATGCATTTTTATTGATTTTTGTTTTAGATAGTGGAATTGGTGAAGACATTACTGATTCAATTCCTGCAGACTTACCTAAGCGACAGAGGGAACTTTATAAAAGGATTCAACAACAACAGAGAGAAGTTGAAAATATACAGGTATTTAAGATCTATAATACATTTAACAGTATTTTTAAATGATCTAGTAATAATTACAAACAAATTCATTTTAATTTTGGTAAACAAGTTTTCACTTCAGATTTTATTATTATTTTTAACATAATCAATGATTTTGGAATTCTGTGCTTCATGAGGAAATCCATCTGATCTAGTGAATAATATTCAAAATGTAATGTTTCTGAAAAAGAAAAAAAAAAAAAAAATACCGATTATTTTACTCGAATACATAAGTTCTGGCTCTGTTTAAGTACCGAGAAATTTAATCACTACTTCAGTTAATCAATGAAAATCCACTGAAGCAATGATTAAATTTGAGTAAAGTACTCTGTACTCTTAAGTTTATGTCCATCCCTCTTCTTCAGTTTTGTGACTTTATAATAAAGTTTTTTACAAACACGGTATTATTTATACTATTTAAATAAAACTAGAGTACTTCAATTTTAACAATATTTTGAGTTTTTATTATAAGTATATAAATATATACTTACTGGTCTTCACAATTATTCTAATCTAGTTAAGGCAAAATACAATTATCTGTGGGGAAAACAGTCTTCTCTTAATCAACTCTAATATTCTTAAATGTGTATCTGCACTTAATGTATAGTGACTGCATCCAATGGTAACAAAAAACTGTTCTAGCCTAATTTGGTAAAGTTTTCTAGATTGATTGATTGTGGTTAATTCTCCGTATCTAAGAATCCAGCTGGCCATTCTATGGCTCTTTTACAGTCTACAGTACAATAGCAACTTAGTTCGTAGACCAAATATTATCAGCTTAGCTTATTAACATCTATGATTAAGATTGTGAGCTAATTACAAAGAAATTCTTATCTACTTTTTAAATTTTAATTCAGTGAAAATACAAATCATTTGCTATTTATATGTATAACTTTTAAAGCCTCTTCATTACGATTTATTTGTTCTTCCCAACCGATTGATAATTCCTCTACTTGGCAAACAATCTTCCATATTTTTCCTAAGATTAATTGTTGATTGCTTTTTTTTTTTCTTTAATGTTTTAAATTATATCATTTCTCTTATAGCCTGGAGAAGGTAATGAAGAGAGAGATGAAGACTACAAAGAGGAGGATTGGTACTCATCAGAAGATGAAGACAGTAGTAAAAAAATGGAACCCTTGGCTGCAATACTCAATAAGTTGAAGCAAAAACCCTCTATTCAACTTGTTCAAGCATCTGATAGTCAGCCTATCATTGGTCATTCGACCACGTTGCCCCCAACATCACAATCATCTATTATTGTGCCTCCTGTAAGTTGATTTATTATTAATTTTCATTTTATTTAATTTATTATTTCAAAAATTTAAATTTTTAATGATTTTAAAACTAACCTTTATTCGTTTCAGATATTACCAGACATTGATATTAATGCTGTTTCCAAGTTGCTCTCTTCAGTTAGAGAAACTATCCAACAAAAACAAAGTATTGAAAGCCAAAACAAGAGTCAAGTAACCTCGAATTCAGTGGCTGCTCCGACTCAAAATCAACCATCCTCATTACCACCTCTTGGTTCTTTAGTTCCTGACTCAGTACCATCAGTTGAGAAGAGGTAGGTTTTAGTACTTTTTAATTAAATTCTGACTACATTATATCACAAATGAGTTCAGTTTCATATTAGTGGTTATAAATTATATATTAATGGTAATATTTGATATAGCAATAAGATATACTAGTCAATCTCTGTTATAATAAGTATTTTGGATTCTAGATTACACTGCCATAACATGTTACCATCTTTATGGGAGTAAATATAACTATTTTTTCTGTGTGGGAACTCAGACATTAGATAACCATCCTACTTTCTAATACATTTGAAATCTAAGCAATATTAGGAAAACATTTTTATTTTTATAAACCAGATATTATTGTCAAGAAAGTTTTTGCAACACACTATTGTTCAGTTTTAAGTAATAGAGTTTACCTAAGTATAAATTAAAAAAAAAAAAATTAAGTAACAGTTTACTTAATAAATGATTAGCTTGCCCCACTGAAAAACATTTCTTCAGTTTAACAATTAAGCCACAAAAATATATCAGTAAACTTATCGAATAGAATAGAATAGAAAATCATCTCTATTCGGGGACTAAGTCTCTTAAGAATAACAGTATTGTTTATATAAATTAACAATAAATCTGGCCAAAAGACCTATTACAATAAAGAATAACTAAAATACTAATACTACTAAAATACTACTAGGAATAAATTCAGCATTATAGCTCTCAGGATATATTAATGAAAACAGTTGGGTAATAGGGTTGCAATACTATAATATTGGAGCTAAAACAATAACATAATAATCACTAAATGAAATTAGAAAGGAATGTTAAATCACCATATTTTATAAGTAAAGCATTGTAGTGATGGAATATAAAAATAAAAATAAAAATAAAAGAAAACTTAATATATAAAAAATAAATTGTAAAATAAAAAAAAAATCATTTACAATGTTCTTTAAGATTTACAATGAATACACATAAAGGAACGTTTAGACAACAAAGGAATGTTTAAATGAGGCAGACCTGTGGAAAGGTGTGTAAAGGTCAGAAGGATAGGATCTTGTGAAGAGTGTCTGGATAGATGATTTGAATTGTAGGAGATTGTATGCGTAAGACAGATGATGATTATTGATTATTTGGTAAATGAATGTGCCTAGGAAATATTGTCTTCGGAAGGAGGAGAAGAGTCATCCTAATTCAGCATAGTGGTGCAAAACACTGAAACACCTGAGGGTCCCGATGACAAATCTTACAAAGGCATTCATAATTCTTTTCAGTCTCTCCCCGAGTTCTGCCGAGAGGCTATCGTACACCACACAGCCGTAATCAAGGCGAGGGAAGATACTATGGAGTCTAAGTGTGGGAATGGGTAGATGGCAGAAGTGATGAATTGTTTCAAGGTACCAATTGACCGTCGGGAAATGTGAGCAATATGGTTTTTCCAGGAAAGGGTTTGGTCTATGAAAATGCCTAGATTTTTAACTGAGGAAGTGAAGATGATGGGATGGTCATATAGGTGCAGGATAGGAATGTTTGTATTGGCTTTGAGAAGGGATTTGGAACCAATGATAATGACCTGAGTTTTTGCAGCGTTAAATCTTAGTTCATTTAAGTTTGTCCAGGCACTTATACTAACCAAGTATTGTAGGCTTTGAGACTGATTGGATTAGAGTAGAACAAAATACTTGGTTTCTAATTCTAGGTTTATAGACTTTTAATTTATCATCAGAGACTAGAATGAATAGCAATATTTTAATTTTAAGAAACTTGAACAATAAGTATTCTATGACTTCTCGGACACTATCACTAGAATTACTCTGAGCTCATGTGTTTTCTCAAAAAACTATGCATTTTAGGGTTTCAAAACACAAACACTGTAACTTTGCTGGGTATTAATGCTTGTGCCAAAATCTTTAAAACACAATCTGTCTCGCCTTGATCTGTTGACTGACCAATGTTGAGTTTTGGAACCTCTAACCTTTTTCAATGAATTTTATTAAAGATGTAGTATGAATTTAAGTGTCAAAATTGGGGTTAATCACTTCTCCATGACATTCCTTTTTATGACACTTTGTCAAAATCAATGGCTGTTAAGAGACTGGAAAGGGATCTATACTACACATACTATATATATATATATATATGCACACAGACACACACTCACACACATACATACATACATATGTTTATGTATTGAATGATATTTATGAATTTTTTATAGGAGTGATAGAAAACCTCAAAATCTTAAAAAAAGTTAATATAAACAATGACCCAATTCTCAATAGAAAAGTAGGAAATTAGAGATTAGTGATTTTTTAAGTAAGTTATGTTTTTTGTTGAAAAGAAAGCGATAAATAACAAAATATTTAACAATTGCTTCACTGTTAACTAGACAAAACTTACTTTAAATGAAAGTAGAGTTTGTCATTGCTGAAACCATTTAAAGAGGGCTGTTGAGTGTTTTCTCTCAGCTTGTTTTTCAAGATTTGCTTAATAAAAAATAATAATATACAATCCCATATACAACAGATACCCCACATTTAGAAAAACTTTCTCGTTTAATAAGCTTTAAGTCCATATTAATTAAGTTGAGGTTTATTAGGGAAAATTTTGAGATTCCCCTCATGTTGTGTAAACAATGTTATGATTTGATATCCTATCACTTAACAATAACCATATTTTCAGCAAAAATGACTATTATAAATTATTGAAGTTTTAATTTCTTCTTTTTTTCCATTATCTGGGATGTATTATAATAAATATAAATGCATAAGTACACTTTATATGTATAAAAAAAAGAAGGGTTTTTCGATTATTTATCATCTAAAGTGATAATGGAACTGTGTTTTTTTTTTATCTAAATATCTGTTATAGATATTAATCTGTGTTTAAAGTGAGCAGCTAAATGTTTCTAATCTTAATATTTATGTTTAAGATAAAAAAATCTGATGTTTGCTTCAATTATTTTCACAAAAACGTAAATATTAGGATTACGAACATTTAGTTTTCACATAATCTTTTTACACAACATGAGGTGAGTCGTGAATCTCAAAATTTTCCTTTATAAACCTCAACATGATTAATAAGGATTTGAAGCTTATTCAATGAGGAAGTTTTTTCTAAAAGTGGGGTATCTGTAGTATAGTTTAAGGTTGATAAAAAAAAATTCACAAATAATTCTTGATTTTTTTTAAACGGAACTTATCTGAGTTCAGCCGTTCAATACCCCTCTTTAAATGGTTTAAAAAATGACAAGCTTTACTGTCAAGTAAATTTTATCTGGTTTACTTTACTATAGACCAATTGTTAATTACTTAAACTAAATATTTTTTTAGTTATCTCTGTCTATGCAACAAAAACGTGACTGAATCACTAATCTTGAATTCTCTACTTTTCTGTTGGGAATGAGGGCATTGTTTATATTATCTTTTTGTAGAACTTAAGGTCAGCTTTACTTACGGGACTCTCTGTGTATGTATTTACTGGCTGTCTCAGGTCTTAGTGAGGGAGAGGGGTGAGAAAGGTGAATCTAGACAAAATTAAAAAAAAAAAAAGTTCATTTGATGCATGAGCCGATTGCGAACGGAAAAGGAATTAAGACCAATTTTGTGTTTTTCTTAACGTAGTCACAGTCAAATCAATGTTTTCTTGAAAGAGAAACAATCAAAACATTAAGAATATTTGTGGTAGGAGTTTCTTCTTTGAACCTAGAAATTTTTCAACTAAATAAACGTAACATTTATGTGGTGTCAAACATTGTTACTGCATCTAGGTTCTGCAATCTATTATTTTACATGGTACACATTAACCATAAATTATATTATTCAAAGGGAAAAATCAAAACCATGAAGCTTGACTCTCTAGCATACAGTGAACAGTTAAAATGTCAATATTTCGACAAGTCAGGCTTCATCAGGACAGAAATGATTTATGAACTAAATGTTCATTTATATTTGTATAACTTAATTATCAAGCAACACAAATGTTTAATAAAAGCACCTTTGTTTGAAAAATAAATCTTAGCTGCGTAACTATCTTAAGTTTAAGAAGATTTTATCAAATATAGTGGACAAGAGTCTGCCTTTAATTAGGGTAGAAATGTGAGATTTCATGATGTTTTGTGAAGGTGATCTTCAATTGATAGCCACTAGAGGGCACTCCTCAATTGCTTATTAAATCTGGATATTCCAATGCTACCATGAAGCTTATTAAAAAGTTATATTTGTAATTTTGAGAATCAAATACTTAGCCTTGATATAAAATGTTGGTTATATTGTTTTTTATTTGATATAATCTATTTTTAAAAGTGTCAGTTTTTAAACAACTTGTGTTTGTTTTGCAAATACAACTTATTTATTCTGGAGGTGAATATGAAAATTATTAATGACTTGGAAAATAAATTAACATAATCCATTTATTTTTTCTTTATTAATATAAAAGTAGTCCTTATGAATTAAAAATTTAATACTATAAAGGAAATGAATGATAGAGGCTATATTTATTGTCATATGATTATCATGTAGGCATTGCCTGTTATTTACTTCTTCTTTTCATTATTCATGCTCTCCAATTTTAGTGTTTTATTAATTTTGCTCATTTATTAATAAGATGTTTAAAAAAATTAGGTAATTAGTTATATATTTTTCTTTACTTTTAATACACTGTTCTTGTAGTCTATTACTTAGTTTTTATCTATAACAATAAAAAATTGATTGTTGATGGTAAATTAATTCTATTGTTGATATTTGTTTGTTTATTTAATGTTTTGCTTTTAATATTGCTTGTGAAAACTATCATAGCCATTTATATATATTTTTAATTTATTGATTAATCATTTTTTAATGTTTTTTTATATGTTTTAGTTTTTTTTTAGTTTTATGTTTTAAATTTAAATGAGTTACAACCCCTCTCAAAAAACCTGGAAAAGATTCGTAATTTTCTAATATTTAACATATTAATGAACATGTGGCTATTATGTAGTTGGGCTCTATGAATAATTTTCATAGTATATTAGTCAGTGACGAAGGGGTAATATAGTATGGAAATAAGTAAA